ATGCATTATAGAATGAAACTACAATCCTCTTTTCATCGTCTGTATTGTTACCTGGATGATATCAGGATGATATCATGCACACACTAACAATTTAACAAGTATCAGTTTTTTATTTCTTTGAGTATATCAAATTGCAAACAGTACTATCGCCTACATTGTCTTACACTCACAATGAAGTAACGCAAGCCGCTTCCAATAGGAACTGGATCTTCCCAGAACGACACTTAGCGAAACGATAGAGGCAGGCTGAATGTTTTATTCATTACCAAATTCACCACAGGGAAATATATAAATACCCTTACATGAATATATAATTTTCAGATAGAACGATTGATGATAGTCCTCAATAGGTAACCCCAATGTTCGTTAACCGTTGCTTTCATAAGGGAATAACCGGGGCTTTTGTCCACACATCGATTATTAATGACCCAGTTTATTCTTTCGAAAAGACATAACAAAAGGTTACCACTAGGCCGGAGCGATTCGTGCTGAGAATATCAAGGTGAACTGCTTCTATTTTGTGTGGAGTTTATCCAAAATAGGATATTGTATTGGGCATTTCGAGAATACAATCATTGATATCACAAAGAAGCATATTTCATTTATATAAAATTTGTTTCATTTCTCATATTAACGCTCTCTTTGTGAACTGTTTGACAAGCATTCTAGAAGTTGTAAACAATAGGAATGACAAATGTTTATTGATGATCAACTCCTTTATTGTACAATAGCGACGTTTCCGTATTCACCACCTCATGATTGAAAACGGTATAAGTATCTGTACCGAAACGTCGCTATTCTACAATAAAGGAGTTGATCACCCATAACACCATGAAAAGGTTTGTAAAGATGACTGATCAATCACTGGGGCCGTAATTATTTAAACACTTCTCAGTTCTGTCTACACTTAAACAAACTGTTGCAAACGGCTGCAATTTGTAACGGTCTGTTGATAAACATTGTCGTGATCAGTCTTATATTATTACTCATTTGAAAGTGAAGGCATTTATTTCATGCAGATTTGATATTTTGTAACTCGTGTCTTTCTTATTTCGTTGCAGAATGACAACTTTGGTTATAACATTTGATTTGAACACACGTATCTCATTTGAACATTCCCGTTATCAGACAATTTCTTGCTTTAAGTTGCGTTGAAGACATTTTCAGATTATGTTTCGAAGGTTCCATTGCTGTCCAAATGTAGTATTTTAGTTTAAGTACTAAGACAGGCACTTGACTAATAAGGGAAACTGAAAATATCCTTGACGTCGTGTTTTCAGGAGTTTCTGGTACCGTGGAACCTGTGTGTTGAATGCCAAAGTTTAATGCCCCAAACTCAAAAGATAAACAAACAGGCATCTGTGCCGTTTGGACTCGAGTGTGTACAAGATACTTACGTAATGCGTGTATCTACAGATACTATACAATGGTCTGTTTCACTTCCTCCTTGTTCTGAACCCCGTTTCATGTTGTACCGCTGTGGGAAATAGAACCACTACACTACCCGTGTGCCCAGTATCCCTGAACGTCCTGTGATCATTGAGGACAATGTGTTCTTCTCGAAAGGCTGATTTAATAACACTGTTCTCGTCAGCTACTAACAAGCGCGTTCATATCACCTATGTGGTTGTCCCAACGCTCTGCTACGTGAGCCGATCGTCGTAGTCATTGTCTCAGCTGCTGAATAATAAAAGGTGGAAAAGGTCATGAACTTACATTCCATTCAAACAAACGCGACGAACCGACTGTGTCAAAACCATATCGACTAAATCGGTTCCGACCATATAATAATGAATAATAATGAGTGTATTCTTTTAACGCTAAATACTCCCGGCACTAAGTGTCTGCTCGAAGCGCTTGCACAGCACATTATTACCCCGGATAACCCAAGCTGCGCTAGAAGGTTATAGTCACATGACTTATCCCACCGGGTACCCATTTTCGGCTGGGTGAACAGAGGCATGTTTGAACAAACTCACTTGCCTAAGGTGAAACCACATGTATCATATTTGTTTCGTTGTGAGACAGGACTGAAGTCCTAGAAACTCACAAGAGTCAAGCTGCCGAACAATGTCACCCATCCAAGACTCTCCGCGCCCAATGTTGCTTAACGTCAACTGAGCACTATGCACATGACCACATGCCACCACATCTAAAGGACGTGTTAATGAATCACTATCACATAGTGATAGTAGCAGGTTTCTGTCGAAGGTTGAGTATAGCCTGCCCCACTAGCAGTATGCACCACAAACCCATGCAAACACAATTAATATCAGAGACAAGACCCTTCGCATATCCATAAACAATCTGCAGAAACAATTGCACAATTCCAACTTATCGTAGGCATGTATTGCTTCCAAATAGTGATGATACCAGGTGTTCATGAACAGGTGAACGTATCCTCCCTACTGGTGGTACCGTCATAAACACATGCAAAGGCTAGTCAATTGTGCAACTGAAAATTATACACCGGGAACATTTCTTAGATGTCAAAACAGGGAATTGCATCGGACATGATTTTTGTCCTTGTTACGTCATGTTTGAAATGTCCTTCACATGTCTAACATTATCGGAGTGACGGATATTCTTTCATCAATAACCTTCCCTGTGTTTACTTCAATCAGATGTGTATTAACACGGTAGGCAGATACCCCCTTCCGATCCATTATCTCGGACCAGCTTCACATGGTGTCTCACAGTCCTGGAACAGCATTGATTTCCTCTCCCTTCCAGCCCTTTCTGTAATATATGCAAAAGCCATAAAGGAAGTATTTCCAGATTTTTCTCAAATTCTTTTCAGTTTACAATGTTTTAAAACAGTACTATACATTTTCAAAATTAAACGCTCAATTGCCTTGGTGCATTCACTTTACAGTCATTATCATCGTTTGAATGTACCTAGATTTTTAGACCCGTAAAGATCCTGGTCCTCAACAACCATTTTGTGCGACAAATGAGATCCGGTGACTAGGTTCGATGACTTGATTGATGCATGTCACCGTAGACAATTGCGTAGATCGATGCTCATGGGGTTAGTCACTGGATTGTCTGGCTCGATAATTTACAGCCCTCTGTCATACAGCTGAATCATTGCGGCGTTAAACAACAAAACAACAATCTGCGCATTATCATAGGCTCTGTCACATATGCATTATCTATTATATAACATGTCCACGATGTCGCGGTAAGTGATATCCTGACAACCACAGTTACAGTGATCAGCAAGGCTTCACACGAGCTGTTCTGTCAATACCAGACTGCATTAAACCTCTTTCAGCATCCTAGAATTACAATGTAATTACACCACATATTGATGCGAACATCACAGCCTACAATAGGTCATATTGATGTCAGATGTCCTCGTCTCGAATATCCTCAAACAATTACGATTCAGCGAAGCACAACTATAGCTAGCAAGTTTTATTCCATTAACACAATACTGTGTATTGATTAAGGCGCTAAAATGCATTATGTACGTTTTCGATGATGACTTAAGTGAGGCGGGGCAGGAATGTCTCGCATGATTCAAGCTTGACAGAAAGAGAAAGTAATAACTATTATAATAAATTCTGGTGCTAGCTTCAGGGAAGTACTGAACTCTCGGTACACTGCACGTAAGCTTCGTGTTTATAGAGTTAAAACAATATGTCATGTCATTGTTTAGTTGATAAGGACACGACATGTTAGACCAGTCATAGTGTCAAATGTCATGATTTAGTTGGGCAGTTGTTTCTCGTATGTGTTTTAGCTCGTTCTTTCTTTCATCCGTCGGTCGATTTTGGATCTATCAGTCATTCAATTCTTCGGGCGGTCAGTTAGCCAGATGACTCTTTACCTGGGCCGACATCTACAATTAGTCAACATTACTTGATACGTGGCAAGGTTACTAGTACCTATGTCGACTTGTTGAAGTGAACGATTAACGAAGACTTTTAAATGCCACTTAACATCATACAGGGGACTTTACCGCTTTGTTACAGAGGTAACAGTGAAGATGAACATCTTTTGAAGTGAACCTCTCGGGCTGCAGTTTATTCACAATCTTACGCATGTCTTGCATTGCCACTTGTGATTCACCGCTTCAGCCTTCGCGGAGCCCGACACCGGACCCCTACAGTGAAAGTGGATTTTTCCGTTACACGTTAAACACTTGCTGTAAATTTAGGAGGTCATTTCCATTTTGTACGTCGAAATATGTCGATATGTTTCCGCTGGCTGTTTCTTGAGTTCCAAGTCGTATTATTACAAAAAAGCCAAGTAAAACCACACTGGCTCACCCCATGTGTATGAACTCTTACTGATGTTTTCCTGATCGTCCAACCTCACACATTATCATTATAGCTTACATAATTTGCAAACATATGTTACAGAAATAAAACGTTTTTCTGTATTCTCATGGGCAGCATATAATCGTCCCATTCATACAAATAGGTCCATTTGTTTTACTGGCTGTGGTTTATGAAGATCACACAAAAATGTATTTACGTTACGTGGCAGACTATTTACAATTTAGAATAATAAAGTGTTCACACTTTTATCAAAAGATATACTGTTGTTAGGCTCATAAACATTTGCTAATCTTGACGCCACATTTCAGTGTGTAGGGTTCCGCCCCTTAGACGCGTGAGGGTCATATGAGAATCGTCTCGATACCACAGATTCTCCCATACTATGATCAGCATCAGTCCCTGGGTTTCATCAAAATATTGAACGTCTTTACTGTTGTTATTCCTGTTTACTATGTTGACAAACCGTGAAATACAACCCAAAGTGTTGTTGTGTAACACTCCGCTCTGCAATATCCTTCCCGGTAAACAATCGTCAGCTTGATCCCCAGGATCCAGAGATTGCTATCATGAGCATCGGTCCAGGCAAATGAGATACGTTTACATGATGTCATCGAGCCTGATCCATTTAGCCACCTCTGACGAATGTATATGTCGCTGGGGACCTAACGAAACCATATCTCTGAATGGTCTTTTATTCCTTACTACTTGCAGGTCTTCTATCAGAATTCTGTCCTTCCTATAACGACTCCTACGGGGATAGGCAAAGCGCCTTTTACTGTCCTGTCAAAATGCGACTCTTCACCGCTAACGACCATTTCTGCTGCGGTAACAACACCCGCAGATTCTGCTGCCAAGACATCACGAAGAGCATTTACAGCCATGCAGAATCGGAATCAATAGCCTATTGGAATGAATTGTAAGTAACAATGAAGTAAAATGACTGCTATTTGCCCCGAGGTCATCCTTAATATAGCAACGTAGAGCGGAATAGTGCAGTGGTAAGGCGTCTGCCCGTCGCGTTGAAGGCCCGGGTTCGATCCCCGATGGAGGCACCTAGGTTCGGGTCCCGAGGTGGGCACATTTGCGTAGTACTTAGATCCACATTGTCTCAGTTCACCCAGCTGTACAATGGGTACCCGTGAGGATGTGCTGGCAATGTGAGTGTTTAGTTCATTGCGCCTAACAGGGAGTTGAAAAAGTATTGGAAAATACGATAGCGTCATATGACCGGGGATAGTAATGTACGTAGCGCCGTGAGCAGGCAATGTGCGTGGATATGAGCGCCATATAAGCGGACTGTTACTAACATATCGGGACGAGAAGCCTTGCGTTATAACCTTTGACTCGATCAGCTGTCGATGTTATCAAGTTGATTGTGACATTGAACCTCTGTTCACCCTACATTCGTAACGTATCCATGTTTCAGTTGGCCCTATTTTGCTGTCATCGGGTTTGCTATCATATCGGTTCTGTTTGCGCCGTTCCTTTTCCCTCCAAAGAAGTCTGTGATCATGTCCTGACCTGATGTCAGGGTAAACACCAGCCTTACCTCCCCTTCATGACCTTCTGGAGGACAAGGGGGCAGTGATATGTGAGCATTCTATCGTCACAACATCATCCCATATAGAAGATACATTGTTTTGCTACTGGATTGAGATTCTCAGTGTGGTGTTATATTTAAACTCAGCGCCATACTATGAACCAGAACTTAGAACAGCCATCATCCCTATATTGTAAGACAAACCTAACACTGTGATACATTTCAATTAGCTGTTGTATATGTTCATGTAATACCGAGCGTAGTTGTTCGTTACAAGATTGTACAATGAAACAGGTGGTAAATCATCATTAAATGGCACTGGAAATTATTTGATACTGGTATTATCAATTGCTGAAACCCTCGGTGTGATCAACTGTGCTTCTTCGAGTGACTGACGGCGGGCTTCTTCAGATCGTTGTGCCATGACGAATAGAGTTATCGTTAAAGCGTAAAAGCTCCATATTTTATCACACCTGAAATATGTCAATGAGAATACCGTCCATTTTAACAAGATGAAGGTACACATCACCAATCAACCATTTACCGTAACAGTAGGAAACCATTGTGTCACAAACACATTCCAGTCATTGTTCCACCAACACATGCAAACCAAAAGCTTTGATTCACAATGAATTATACTTGAAGTGTGATAGTAAGAATGCCGTCCATTATAACAAGATAAAGGCACAAGTCACCAATTAGTCAGTTATTGTTACAGTAGTCAACCATTGAGAAGTCTTATGAGCGTTTGTAATCGTAATGATGTCGTTGAAAAGGAGGTAAATTCAATAACACGTCGTATTAAAGCTCCAAATTGAATTACACCTGAAATGTGATACTGAGAATGCCGTCCATTGTCACAAGATAAAGGTACACGCCACCAATCAGCTCTTTACTATAGCAGTAAAAATCCATTGTTCCACAAACACATGCAAACCATTGTTCCACAAACACATGCAAACCATTGTTGTACAAACCCATATAAAACATATGAAATAAACAATGCCATTTAGAAAGTGGCGAAATGTAACATATGTTATATTTGGATGGGACTCAACCCAACAAAAATACTAGAATCTGTACTTTACAATAAAGTGTAATCCCAAATATAACATATGTTACATATAAAACATAGTTCCACAAACACGTGTAAACAATTGCTCCAAAACACACGTGGGCCATTGTTCCACAAACACATGCAAACCATTGTTCCACAAACACATGCAAACCATTGTTCCACAAACACATGTAAACCATTGTTCCACAAACACATGTAAACCATTGTCCCATAAACACGTGCAAACCATGTAGACCATTGTTCCACAACTCATGGCCAATATCTATACTGCCCAACAGTTACAGACTATCTGTTCCGAAATCACAAACGTCTCATATACACATGTTGTAATACTTTCCGACAGTGGGGATGTATCTTTCATTTGCATGGGTAGTTCATGCTGTTGATCACTGGATTGTTTGGTCAAGGCTCAATTATTTACAGAACTGGAACATTGCTGAGTGTGGCGTTAAACAGCAAACACCAAAAACATTTGCATGGATTTCCAAAATAACAAAAGTGTTAGAATGATAGAAGCAACCGTTAAAAGAGAGATAAATGTTGGGAAGTGATGCTGTGATGCTTCCATTGCCTCATATTTCAGATGAGTCAGTATCCCTGTTGAACCTCCTTTCATCGCAACGTTGGTTCACATTGTGCAGCTAATGATGGTTCAGTCCATGTTTATCCTTGGATTGCGACTTGTAATGTAAACAGGTGAACAAAAGTACCTCTTAATGTTCCACTAAAAACCATTAAGATCTTTGAACAGTCTTCTTTGAAAGGAAGCCAATCGATACTATAAGAACAAGTAACAATACTATTGCGTTGTAGCGTTGTACAGATTTGCTTTTGAGACACACAAATGGTTAAAAAAAAGCGAGCTGGTCCTTCGGGAGCTGACACTACTTTAAAGATAATAATCGTAGAAGACTAAGTATGGCATATTTAAAACATGAGCAACAGACTTATGTCTGTGGTCCCACGAGAGTCTATTTCGGGGAGATCAACAGTTTTCTATTGCTTGCCAAGGATCTGTGAGGAACTACAACGAATGTAGAATATTTTGAGTGTCATGAATGTCAAGGGTGGGCTTATGATCTGGCTTCCTTCAGGTTCGTTACTTCCCGTTCTTATCAATCGCCTCAAATTGTTTACTTTACACACATAAAATACACGTGTTTTCCAATGCAATTGAAATGGAGAAGTCTTATGAGCGTTTGTAATCGTAATGATGTCGTTGACAAGGAGATAAATTCAATAACACGTCGTATTAAAGCTCTAACTTGAATTACACCTGAAGTGTGATACTGAGAATGCCGTCCATGGTCACAAGATGAAGGTACACGCCACCAATCAGCTCTTTACTATAGCAGTAATAATCCATTGTTCCACAAACACATGCAAACCATTGTTCCACAAACACATGCAAACCATTGTTGTACAAACCCATATATAACATATGAAATACAAAATGCCATTTAGAAAATGGCGAAATGTAACATTTGTTATATTTGGATGGGACTCAACCCAACAAAAGTACTAGAATCTGTACTTTACCATAAAGGGGAATCCCAAATATAACATATGTTACATATAAAACATAGTTCCACAAACACGTGTAAACCATTGCTCCAAAAACACACGTGGGCCATTGTTCCACAAACACATGCAACACATTGTTCCACAAACACATGCAAACCATTGTTCCACAAACACACATGTAAGCTATTGTTCCTAAAAACACATGTGTACCATTGTTAAATTCAATAATACGTTGTTGTACGTTATTGTGAGTCATCGGATGTTCGCAGGTTTCAAATATGACATTATTATTAATGCATTTTATATGTGTGTTTGTACTTATATATACATTGTAGATAACCTGTACTCTGCTGACATGCTGTAGTTATATATACATGTGTAATCAAATGAAGCTTTACTTGCAACCTCTTATCGTTTCAGTTTGAACAAACAATTGTTCTGTCTTCTGTTATTCCCCCGCCGTATTCTGTTTCACTTTGAATATTTTTATGTTGCTTGTTTACTTATCAAATTAATGCAAAGTTTATTCGTTTGTTTTCTGGGAGCATATGTAGTACAAGGAAACATTGACAGAACTGTTGTGTTATTTGGGAATCTCTCTGGAGGACCGGCCTCACATTCTCTGTCATTAGACATTTTGGTGCAGACTTTCAATATTAATGTATTCCATTGTGCCTTCGAATGTAAATAAGGATGCACTACGATCTGTAAACATTATACATTTTGACACAGAATTTTATGAAATAAAGAGTAGAGTAAAAATTCCTTTCTTGTGGTTTGATATTCATCAAACGTCGCACGCAGCAATATTGTGGATGCGAAACGGCGCTTTGTTATTACCAGCAATGAGGGGCGTCGTTCACTAGACTGCTAACGTCAACATTTGCCTAAAATCTTTTATGGTTAGTGTTATGCTTCAGTGAGGACAGTGGCTGTTTGACTGCATGGTCTGCACAGTGGTTAAAGGTTTCCTTTCTATGGAAATATGCCTACTCTCTGCGGGAGCTTTTTATATGAATAACATCTGACAACCTATAATTATGTTTATTCTCAGCCATAAATATATAGAGAACCTAAAATATGGGTCTTTATTATAACTCCACACAAATAATATTCAACACCACAGCATGTATAAGCATTCCAAACTTTTAACTGCGATTTAAATAATTTTATTCGCATGAATTGAACGGTATTTGGGGAAGATGTTTTCCGACTTGGAGAGCCCTCCACGGCTTTCACAATTGCACAATTCAATATGTATACATACAACACGTAATAGAGACATACAAAATTGAGGGAGATTGCAGTAGGAGAGAAAAACACTGGATGAATAATTCTTTACATATATCTTCTTGTCTGTGTTGGGCTGTCTGAAATATAGCTTCATGATCTGGAATGCCGTCATCTGCGTTGCATTATATTTTATAGGTTATATTTTAATGCTGTATAAATACATTCTGGGATCCAGTTTGAACTAAGTAGCACGTTACAACACCCTGATATGGATATAGATACATATACATATTACTTTAAATGCTTCATATGCATAGTAATTGTACATATATATGCACTTCATAGTTTGAAATAAGCCCGGAAAATCTGGATTTGTTCTCTGTTCTACCGGAATTGAACTTCGGAGTCAGAGTATCGAAACGGGACACATTGCCTTAAAGCGTAGGTGACGTTTGCAGAGATATTATATGTTAATTTTTTGTCAAGCCAAGTACGTGCGTACATTGGTTTCCAAGTGAAAGGTTTACGTAACATTAGAGAAATGTCAAGTCTGTTGTGAAGAAACTGTTACATTGTAATAATAAATAAGTTACACAAGAATAGTGGGTTGTCTGGGTTCAATATCGCCTTGAACAATATGACAGATATGTTACGACGTGTTCGTTTCTGTAGGAGGCCGTCCGTGTAACCTTACACAAGAATGGTGGGTTGTCTGGGTTCAATATCGCCTTGTACAATATGACAGATATATCACGACGTGTTCGTTTCTGTGGGAGGCCGTCCGTGTAACCTTACACAAGATTAGTGGATTGTCTGGGTTCAATATCGCCTTGAACAATATGACAGATATATCACGGCGTGTTCGTTTCTGTGGGAGGCTGTCCGTGTAACCTTACACAAGAATAGTGGGTTGTCTGGGTTCAATATCGCCTTGAACAATATGACAGATATGTTACGACGTGTCCGTTTATGGGGGCCACCCGTGTTCCCTAGATAACACCTGGGTAAATCTAGTCGTTAGAAAGAGGTTACTGATGTTGGCGCTGGCTGCCCATGAAACATGAGGCAGCCCCGAAACAAAATCTTAATTGACCGTTGTTTTGTGAGTAACCCACAACATCCCACAAATTCGCAAGTAACTTTATTCGACTTTTTCGTAACATACACGAAACCTTGGACAATGTTCGATGTCTCGAAATGATATCCATCAGAATAACGGTACTTCGATCAATATAATGCCGAGCATTTAGAAAACAAATTGGTAGTATATGATTGTCAAAATGACCATTGTAATCCGAATATGTCTGAGACATACGTTATTTAAGAACACCGTCGGCTGGACAGCTTTCTTCATTAAATCTTATTATCTTATTTTAAACAACAAGTGTTTGCAAATAAACCTCAGCAGCTGACAATGTCTCATACATCATCATCTCCTTTTCATGAATCATCTGAGTAATTAAATGTTGTTAAAGGCCGCTCTATGCAATATTTCAGCAGCTAGCGGGCGGCCTGTTTAATCTAACATCTGGTAGAGGCGAACCAACTGGAACAATGATCCACATACCACACTGCGACGAGGCGACTATTGGATCGGTGGTCGAGTTGATTGGGTGACTTGTGTGTCATTATAACCCAACAGGTCGATACTCATAATATCAATCACAGGTTACATTTACATACCAACACTATACTGCTGTTATATTTGAGTAAGGCGTTAATACATAGTCCGGTCATTCTGCTCGTTGTCTCAGTGGTACGGCTGATTTGTTCCTGCAGGTACGACTATATTAACTGGAACTTGCAAACTATCCACGAGCCATGGGCTCCAGAAAAAGATACTACATGTATAATCTAAATGAATATTCAGAGTATTACCGAGGTCCAAGTACAATCGATTTCCCGTATGAAAAAGTAAAATAAATAATTCAGAACTAGAGGATATCAAAGTCGGACAACAGTCATTACCACAGATACCCACATCCCACAACGGCAAACTGATACAATTGCACCAACATCGATTACACAGCAGCAGCTGGTGATAACAAAGGTATACCTTACGTGTAAATATTTACATTTCATTGTGATTCAGTCAGACCAGCCCGGCTTCAGTTTAACTTTTTCCATGAAAATACATGCATCATTTTCCTCTCTCATCTTTAAGGGTCAAGCTGACACCTCATTCCAAGATATGCACACAGGTATCCATTGAAACCAAACCTTAGTGTAAAACATCTTGCAGAGGCGAAGTGAGTGATTATGGTTTTACGCCGCTTTTAGCAATATTCCAGCAATATCACGGTGGGGGACACCAGAAATGGGCTTTACACACTGTACCCATCGAATCGAACCCGGGTCTTCAGCGTGACGAGCGGACGCTTTAACCATTGGGCTACCCCACTGCCTCGGCAGAGCCGAAGAGTACTAATGCTAGGAACGTGGTGACGGTGACTTTATACAACATTCACTCACATAAGCCAATGGTATACATGTCCTGATCTAAAACCCGTCTGGAAGATTGGAGTCTGTTCTGTTAACCCATGAATTACACCCAACTTCATGAAATACATGTCTTGTTCGCCTCCTCACATTCATAAAATCAAAACAAAAATATGAAACTTCAATGGAATTTATTACATTAAATTATACCTCCATGAGATCCTGTTGACCGATAATGACTGTGTCGTAAACCTTGTTCGTATTTTTTGTTTAGTTGTTGGCTATACGGAGCCATTTATAAGTACGTCTCCAACTTAATATCGTAATTCTTTGTGTCCAGCGTGTGCCATGCGTCATGAGTTAAGCTATAAGGATAAACAAATGTTGTCGAGTTAAGCAATAAGGATAAATAGATGCTGTTGCGTTAAGCAATAAAGATATAGAAATGTTGTCGATCATGTTGAAATAGACAAATAGTCCCTTGTACAACGAAAGACAGACAACCTGCTACAAACAGGGGACCAAATTCTACTGCACTGCAGACGCCTGGGCAGCCCGTGTCCTTTGTCCCGTAAAAAATATCAGTTTGAGTGTTACTTGTGCATCACGGTTGTAGCGAGTGAGTGACTTGGCCATTATGCCACTTTTAGACATATTCAAGCAAATGGGCATCACACATTGTACTCATCTGGGGAATCAAACCTGGGTCTTCGGCATAACGAGCGAACGCTTTGCCCCCTCGGTTGTAATGGAAAGATAAACTTGCATGTACTCTCATTGCGATACCACTCAATCAATTTCTAAAAGTAATATTTTGAAATCCACGAGCACTATAGTCTTGATAAACCTGGGAACAAAGCGAATCTAACATTGAACAATACGATTACATGTATTTTCTGCCGCGCCTGGGTCGTAACTCAACTCGGCGATCTGTGGTGTCAGAAGACAAAGGGCAATCCTTGTCGCATGTTTATTTTGATAACGAACTGTGCCACTGAAATGACCCCACTGAAAAAGGCACAGCGGAAAGATGATTATGCGCACTATGTCAGTGTCCCCAACTATGTGTCGTACGTGTGATTACTGACACTACATCCGAAACAGCAATACGACCAACTAAATCAAGGTCAAGTCCTTCTGACTAAGCATATATATATATCACCTCAAATGATTTCGATATCGCGGTCATCTTTTTTGTGTATGAAAACAGTTTGTTCAGGCCACGCTTGTTTCATTATTAAATAGCAATAATGGAAGCACGGTCATCATCAATAAAAACATCATTTCGGAAACAAACTGACCTACAAAAGAACATACCCCCTGGTGTTTTGGTAACGCGTAGACAATAATTGTGACATGTGAGTCACAACACATTTTCAACACTTTTCAACATATTTTCAACACTTTTCAAAATGTGTTCAACATATTTTCAACACTTTTCTACATATTTTGAAAACCACAACACTACAATATCAGGTGTGTGCTTTGTTTTGCATGTCAGTTTACCATAGCAAGAGTTCACGACCAGTTTATCCTATTGAGTTTGTGGGTGAAGGATAAATTCATTGTTCAAAGTTTTCTAAAGTCTAGGAATAACCACCTTCCAGTAACATGAGGAGAAAAACATAAATGAGAAATAGTATCACAAAATAGAATTAAAATAATAAAATCGACACTGATATACATACTAATATAATACATATTCATAGCACTATGTGAAACTATAATCTTTGTACAAATTGTGAGAAAGAATCTACAGCCATCTTAAAAACAACTTTCTCAAAACACATATGTGAGATACTCCCTATAACCTGCATCAAGGTATCAATAATACAACAATGAACAGAAACTACATGGTCAGGCTTCAGGCAGCAGTGTTGTTGTTGCTGCTGCAGCTGCTGCTGTTCAGTTAACTCTGCTGCATACAGAATATGGAACATCTGTTCACATTTTCTATACAATTCCAACTGTGTAATGTTCAGTGAATACGACACTACACGCTTGTGAAGCTGACGTGCAGACATCCATACACATTAACTTATTGATTGCTTAAATGTCCAGAGAGCTACAGATATGTCCAGTATGCAGAGGCTACGTATGTCAACAGAAGGATACATAAATGAACACAGTGATGCACTTGTACATACATATACATAACATGATTCGTGAGCTGTACGCTAAACTTAAGAACTGCGAGACTCCTGGAAATAAATCACATAAAAGTATATAACACATTGTTGGTACAACTGACATTATAGAGTATGACACAGTAACAATGTTCATTATGTGATACCAACATAGTATCTCCATTAATTATTTTTGGCTTTTTTTATCGTTTATCTTTTTGAGTCCGACATCCGAAATTGGAGACAGTTTGATAAATACCCAAACGTTCTCCTCGCAGGTATAAACACACATCCAAATATCATGAAATAAACAGAGACCAGATACTGTGGAGGATGGTTAACATAACGATGAATGAAGGTTTACTGGCAGCAGAATGTTGTTTGCTTGGCGTCAAAATTGTAGTCTCATTACAGAAGTCGCCTCGATAGGGAGTGACACATCCTTTATGACACTCCCCGGTCTGTTTGTTACACCTGCCAGTATTACAATGCTGTGGACATTCCTCATTGCACCTTTGACCATAAGAGCCTGCTTTGCAATGCTCGTTGCAGACACCAGTTACTCTGTCACATGTGTTGTCATGACATCCGGATGGGCACTTACGATCGCACATGTTTCCGTAGGATCCATTGGTGCAATGGAAGCAGTACCCTGTGGAAGTATTACATTCATTTCGTGCACACCGTGCGCTGCAGCTGAGCTTACAGTCTAGTCCATGACAGCCCTTGATGCACTCACACTTAACCTTGTCCCCGTGAAGACACAATTGACGTCCACAATCGCCATGAGCTGTGGCTGAGGAGTGAAACGAGAACATGAGAGAAAGGATCACAACACAAACAAAACAAGGATTACAACGTTCTAGATTCTAGCATCAGACATGACATGGCAGTAAGCATGGTCATGTCACGTGATATTCCCCGTAACAAGGAATACGCGCACAATATGTGCATCAAACATGGAGTGATTGAATATGGTTTCAAGCCGCTTTTAACAATATCACGACTGATATCATGCATTGTACCCATGTACATTGTACGTCATTGTACGACATGACGAGCGAACAATTTAATGACTAAGATACCCCACCGCCCATCAGACATGGAACACGTGTAGCATCAAGCACATGACATATGGCCATTCATAGGTTCATGCAACATGCAATGTATCAGCAACTTGATAACATACCACGTATGATGCATATGTGTTGTACGATATATGTATGTATATTTATCATGTTAAATGCATGATGTTAAGATGCACGTGTTGTACGATATATGTATGTATATTTATCATTTTAAATGCATGATGTTAAGATGCACGTGTTGTACGATATATGTAATATGTATATTTATCATGTTAAATGCATGATGCTTAGATGCATGTGTTGTACGATATATGTATGTATATTTATCATGTAAAATGCATGATCCTAAGATGCATGTGTTGTACGAAATATGTATGTAGATTTATCATGTTAAATGCATGATGCTAAGATGCATGTGTTCCATGGTTGATGGGTGGGGACGCCTAGTGGTTAAGGTGCTCGCTCGTCACGCTGAAGACCCGGGTTCGATTCTCCAGATAAGCCCAGTGTTTGAAGCTCATTTCTGCTGTCCCCGCCGTGATATTGCTGGAATATTGCTAAAAAGCTCACTCACTCACTCCATGTTTGATGCATGAGGCATAAAAACTGTACATATACCATGGTTGATGTAATATATGTACATTGAACACATGCATATCAAGGTTATGAATATAACATGATACATACATACATACATACATACATACATACATACATACATACATACATACATACATACATACATACATACATACATACATACATACATACATACATACATACATACATACATACATACATACATACATACATACATACATACATACATACATACATACATACATACATACATACATACATACATACATACATACATACATACATACATACATACATACCCTAACACCAATACCGAAAGTAGGACACGGGCCCTTATCAATACCACGAAATGAAAGTGGAGCAACAGTCGAAAATACACCCAGCAATAATGTCCGCCGTTGCGACAGAATCTGTGTTGGGTGTAGAGTCATGGGGAAACATCTACTTTCAGTGGAGGTAAATCATTCACCAGTCAGTGGTATATCCGTGTGTTAATACATCGCTACCCCCGGACTAGGCCACAGTACTTTAGATACGACTCTTGTTTCGAGCGATGCCTGTTCGCAGATAAACAGAGTTCATGTATACGATAGCTTCTTACCTCCTGACGCCAGCACTACACACAGGAACAGGAATACTTCGATGTGCCTCATACCTAGGTTCCTAAACCCACATCACAATGATTGTGTGCGGACGCAAGCCTGAGACGCATTTATATGGGTGTCTGAGGAAATCCCATTCTATAAATACAAACCGAAAGTTGGATGACGCTTGGTAAATACAGCATGAGTGTAATAGGTGATTTGATTATCAGGGATTGTGCGCCGTGATATATTTTCAGTGGGACAAGTGTATCAGATTACATTCCACACTGAAAACACTCCACACTGAAAACACTGTAGTGAGTGAGTGAGTATGGTTTTACGCCGCTTTTAGCAATATTCCAGCAATATCACGGCGGGGGACACCAGAAATGGGCTTTACACATTGCACCCATGTGGGGAATCGAACCCGGGTCTTCAGCGTGTCGAGCGGACGCTGTAACCATTAGGCTACCCCACCGCCCGAAAACACTGTACTGCTTATATGTATGCATCAATAGAATATTATAGCAGTGAAGTATTGCCTTTGAGCTTTTAAGAGCAGCGCACCGCTTTCATGATCATGTTTCTTCCGGTCGGTGTTCGATCCCCGGCTGCTCCACGTTACAACGCGCACATACACATGCATACTCGCTCACGAACTCACGCGCTCACAAACAAAACACACACAAACTCACAACATCTTCAACCCCCCTCCCTCCACCACTTCCCCACCTCCCACCTTACTTTAAAAAGCAATGCCTTTTACAACGATGGGGTAGCCTAGGGGTTAAAGCGTCGATTCCCCTCATGGGTACAATGTGTGAAGTCCATTTCTGCTGTCCCCCGCCGTGATATTGCTGGAATATTGCAAAAAAGCGGCATAAAACTAAACTCACTCACTCACTCATTTTTATCATCGAGGAAGTAAATTACGCCCTCTGCCACGGCTCAAGTAGGTCATGTGTACAACTGGTTAGCTAGCTAAATGGTTCACCTTATTCTCGCCAAGCAGAATGATTCAGACGATAATTATTGTGTTTTAGTGCGTCTTCGTCGCAAGTTTCCAAGAAATACAAGTGTAAACGTATTTCCCGTAAATGTTTTGCCACTCATTTAAATACGAATTGGCGGCTAACATGCAGACACAGAAAGGCAAATATTAGATCCGGGTTTAGGATTACGGGCAACACTTCTTTCTACTTAATGTCTACATTAGTAAACAGAGCACGCCGGTGGTTAGGTCATGAAGGCACATATACAGATACGTATGATCGTATATAATCCTATATTTTACCCTATATTTTCTTAGTCCGTCGACAGCATAACATTGCCCGTGTGTTTTATCAAATGACCTGCACATACCTGGTTTACCTTCCACACTAAGCTGACACGCCTTGATGCAAGGCTCACCCTCTCACTCACAGACGTGGGACCCGTGAAGATCCCGATTAGAATTGATCTTCAGTAAGCCCATGCTTGTCGAAGAGGCGACTTACGGGATCGGGTGGTCATACTCGCTGTCATCGTATCCCACTTGCGTAGATCGATGCTCATGCTGTTGATCACAGGATTGTCTAGTCCAGACTCGATTATTTACAGACGGCCGCCATATGGCTGATATATTGTTGAACGTGGCGATAAACAACAAACCAACCGACCACAGACAAGGGCGAGATAGCGAAGCAAAAATATCTACGGCCTTCCCAGTTGCCACGCTATATAAACATTCTGTCTGGAACTACACCATAGACAGTGTCAGCATCTCGTTCAGATCTGACGCAATGTAAACCTCATTCTTCATGTCACTTTTAAGCAACTCAATAAAGACTTCTGTAGAACGAAAAGATTCGACTGTTTCTTCCGAGGAAAGAACTAGCTGTGCCGTATCATAGATGAACTATAAACAGAACAAATGTGATAAATGAAATACGTGGCGTATCTTCTCCATCTCCTCCATGGTCCAAATCCCCCAAGGGATTCAAGGATACAGGAGTTTATATGGATATATATCTTCCTTGTCAGTTGCCTTTAAAGTCGCATTCTCACAAAACTACAAGTGGGGTTGGCAAAAGAACCATGTCATTGAACAATTATCACGAGAATGCTTTTTTGGTCAAATCTCAGATCTCATATTCTCGCGCCTGGCGCATACAGCGTTTCAGAAGAAAGGCTACGAGAATACGAGACAGACAGACTGGGATCGATCGACGTAACTATGGATAAATGGGTGTTACAACTCTGTATAGCTGTAGAGCTGTTTCACCGTTATGTCACCACGTTCACCTCTCTATAAGCTACTCTGCCCCTTTATAACACTCCGAGCTGTATATACACCGCCGTCATATAGCTGGAATATTGCCGCGTGCGGCGTAAAACTAAACTCACTCACTCACCCGTTCAGTATAGCCTCTTAAAATTTCCTGTTATCACAGCTGTTTTATTAACTTGTCACCTTTTGTCACAAAAACATGCATTTTGACGGGACCACAGCATACCTCTATACTTTGTTTTAATCTCTGTACACTCAACATACTCTATAGCCTGCTTATATATCTCTGTACGATCTATATACTTCCATAGTATAAATCTCTCTACTACTCTATATACCTCTATATCATGTTTATATATCTCTGTGCTTTTTCATATACCTTTAAATCATGTTTGTAAATCTCTCTACTGCTCTATATACATCTATATCATGTTTATAAATCTCTGTACCGCTCTATATACCTCTATATCATTTTAATAAATCTCTGTACTACTCTATATACATCTATATCATGTTTATAAATCTCTGCACTACTCTATATACCTCTATATAATATGTATATATCTCTGTGCTATTCCATATACCTCTACGAGGGTCGATAAAAAAGTACGTAGTCTAAATATATTCTCGATGTCCAATGTTTGAAAAGCTTCCATTTTATTTTGAAGGAATCGTTAGCAAAGCCATATCCAAAATTTCACATGTGTGAGTAATGGGCTTAACCAAATATTTGTCATCACAACACATTGGGGTATAATATAACAAAATTGCAGAAAATGAAAAAGGATTTGTCTTTTGGTACCTCTTGGATAATGGTATGCCCGCAGATAATGTCATATAAAATATGTTCAGTATAGTATTGGATGTCTTGCCGTCACGATCAACAGTCAAAGATTTGGTTTGCCTGATTTATATTTAGTCGGGGGCTATTTTTTAAGGACACCCCCATTTTAATCTTTCAAAAACACTGTGTCCAGATATTCAAGCTGGCACTGTTTACAATATATTTTTAGCTGACACTTGTGTGACCATTCAGTATTTAGTTTGAACCCTTAGCATCATGTATGCATAAGTGAAAACATTAGAATAAGCTATGCCCTTATGATAACATCACCAGAAAGGGGGATGGGTAGTGTCTCAAGAAAAAGCTCTTTCAGTCAACATGAAGGGGGGAGTCACTTTAACAAGCGATTGTAATTTCAAATTGCTTTTTATGAACTTTGATATCTAAGTGTGATTCTAGGGGACTTCTATCAATCTCAAACACACAAAATATTTCTTGCATATTTTGTTTCCTGAAGTTTTTTATGCATTTATTGTAGATTTTGCGTTTTTGAAGGTACCAAGAGAAAAGGTGAAACAAAATGGGGATCGTGAGACTGGAACATAGCAAAACCAAATTGCTTGAGCTTGACAGATAATATGTAGAAAAATAAAACATAAAAATAACTGCATTTGTATCGTTTTCTTTGTGATTCTACATACTTTTTGATCGCCCCTCGTATATCATGATTATACATCCCTGTACTATTTCATATACCTCTATATCATGTTTATAAATCTCTGTACTATTCCATATACCTTTATATCATGTTTATAAATCTCTGTACTATTCCATATACCTTTATATCATGTTTATAAATCTCTGTACTATTCCATATACCTTTATATCATGTTTATAAATCTCTGCGCTATTCCATCTGCCTCTATATCACGTTTATGATCTCTGTACTACTCTATATACCTCTATATCATATTTATACATTTCTGCACTGCTCTATATACCTCTATATCATGTTCATAAATCTGTGTACTATTCTATATACTCTATATACCCTTGCAGTGTGTAAAACGTAATACCGCTGTACAATCTCATGTTACATTAACAAGGAAGAAGGCGCTGCAAGCACAAAATACACCCATATACATACGCACACAAGAACTTAATTAAGCACCCTCTGTATTTTTGCAATGGTATGTTTTCAAAATGTCCATAAAACTTCTCATGGTGGCCACGATGGAAAAACCTGAGTTTTTCTGGCCCGTATGATCCTTTGACTCATAAAATACGACAAATGAATGGAATCTACGTTAGTTTTATTATGAAAATTGCTCATTTTATAAATAAAAAACACACTGATTTTCTTACAAAACCATGTCTGTTATAGTATGGCCCTGGCATGTTTAATGTTGAATTTATTGGTGAATGTGAACATTTAAAATGTAATGTGGCGTGTTTTACACGATTCAACGTCAATATATCGAGTGTACCCTCCATGTAAGTGTATGACAGACAGCACTCTCCTCCCCGTACACCCTGTCAGCCTCCTGATCCTCTGAAGGGGCATTCTACGTCATTCCTCGTGTAAAGTGTCTGTCCAGGTTCTTCCCTTTGTTGTACACGACGAACAGTCCTGTCCCAGATATGCTCCAAAGGGCTAAGATCGGAGCTCATTCAATCATGATGTCGTTTGTTATCTCTCCGATCAGTACCTAAGGTCACGTGTCGTCAAAACTTGTTTTCACACGTTAAACTACCGTGTAGGATCTTCAGGTAGATATGATATCACGACTACTGTATTCAGTGTGCCAGGGAAGGAACAAGACAATGGCTGCACGACGGAATTTGCTCCTGCTACTGTTGTGTCTCAGCCTAACGGCCGGTAAGAAACTTAAAATGCTAGTCTGTTATATCGCTATAATGTGATAGGCCATGTTTCCTTAACAAATTTCACAAAAAATTCGAGCCGAAGTGCACACAAAGTGATCAATCAATTATCCTTTTAAACTGAACCACAATCCACAGACAACCCACTAACTTATATGAGATGTATCTTCTCACACTAGCAGTGAACATCCAATCACATAGACAATCAATTGTGGTGTATGACATGTAT